ATGTATATATGTCATTACTAATGATAAAAACTGATGATAAGTTGTATTCCATTGCTGACGCAGTTCAAACCTAATGTACATGTCAAAAATCTGACTTTGTGCATATTAAGTTAGTCTAAATTTAATGTTGGGGTAACCTAAAGATGATCATGTTAACAATGAGATCATAGCAATTCTAAGCGGCAATCCAATATTCAGAGCAAAATATGGACAAAACATGAAAAGATCTGAAATCAAGGTTACAGTCACGAATAAAATACATTATATGGTGCCTTTCTGGATACTCAATAAGCATGATCCCGTCTAGGAAAATGTCAAAATGGAGTGATCTAGGACAAGTTATTTTGTCCCTAATATGATATAGCATAAATTCTTTTCCAAAGGCCATATAGGGCAAAGGTCTGATGGACAAAAAAATTATTTATTTGGAGATCCATAGTTGTGGAATTAAAAAAAGGGACTCATTTTAGTTCAAAGATTGATTGCGACGATGAAGATCCCATACCTTAGCACATCTCTTATATGGATGAAAAAATTCATATAATTGAAAAAATAATATAATCTCACATCATAAAAAGAATATATTTTTATTAATTTATTCATTTTCTATATTTTTTAGTTACAACTTTATTTTTTAGGCCCTTAAGTATAAAAATAATATAAAAATAAAGGTGATTGGTATAATTCATTTGAAAGCGTATGTTCAGACCTTAATAAAGGCAACACAACCCTAATTGCTTGATGTTACAAGGTTGGAGTATTCAAGCATGTTGGGTAGATTGCCCTAACAATCAAAATATTTTACCCACACCCCATAAATATAGATTTTGATATCCTAAAATGAGCTTATGCAACGAGATCCAAAATCAAATCAATCTCACTTAATGTTCTACCTTAAGTGTTAAAAGTTAAAATATATCTTATGAAAGATCTTAAATTATTATCTTATCTTTTAAATAAGTTGATTAAATAGAGTTATAGGAATACGAGACTTTTGGTTTAAATTGTATCTCACACCTATAAATAGATGACATCTACTTATAGATCTATCCAAATCTAAGTGTTTATGTCTATAAAACTAAAGTTCAAGAGTAATTCAAGATCCGTAAGTGTTTTCTTTTTAAGAAGTTTAATATAATTTTTCTTTTCTCCTTGGTTCCTTATTCTTTTATTTGGTTTGATCTTAGGCTAGTAGTAGTACCTAATTACTATTATTTGAGAAAGGACTGTACTTGCATGTGATTTCTTCCATTCTTCACATTAAGTTCACAATCTTTTAGCACAAGAAAACTATCATATTATTAGAGTCCGATCACTACAAAAAAAATGAAATTACCGTTGCAAAAAAATATGTGGAAAGCAGCATCTCTAGCTATGTGATTATCTTTTATTTTCTCTCTATATTTTTATATCTTAATATCGATATAACAATAGAGAGAGGGTTTTTCCTTCACTATCATCAATGCCAATAATGCATGAGGAAGAGTTTCATTATTCACTATCATTAACATTATATTATGAATGTTTTATCATCTGCGACCATTGATAGATCGTTTCGAGAAAAATGCTTCATCACTCAGTACCATTAATAACTATAAAAAAAATTGTGAATCAGAATATAAAAACCCCCTGTGACCATCAATTGACTTGATCGTCGAAGGGGTCGGGTCGAGCCTCCCGACCCGACCTGTGTGCAGGGACGAAGACGGAGCGCCTCCCACCGCGTGCCCAAGCGAGGAGTTCCCTTCCAGAGGAAACAGTCGTCCCGTCGCGATCGAACCACCGCAGTCGGTCACCTCAACAGTCTCAAGGGTCGCTCAGTAAGATCCCCAATCATTCGGACCCGAACCCAACCGTGTAGGCCCCGAGGCCACGGCTTCAAGTTGTTGACACCAACATGATTGGGCCGGAAGCTACGATGTTCGGAAGAGTACAAATGGATTTGTATTTTATTTTGGTGAAGCTACATTTACTTGGTCTTCAAAAAAGCAATGGATCGTTGCTCTATCAAGTTGTGAAGCAGAATATATAGTAGTTTCTTCTAGTATTTGTCATGCAATCTGGCTAAGAAGATTACTCCAAGAACTTCATATGTCATAGGAGAAGTCAACCAAGATTTATGTTAATAATGTTAGGATCGGAGC